CCCATTTTCCTACTTCCCCAACGTGTAAATTCGCGAAAAATCTTTATTAATAATAACAAAAATTTGTAATAGTAAACAGTGTATTTTATTATAAAGGATTTTCGTTTTTCTACTGCTCCGTACTTCGTGTGCTCCGTGCTCCGTGTGCTCCGTACTCCGTGTGCTCCGTGCTCCGTACTCCGTGTGCTCCATTTGCTCCGTGCTCCGTGTGTTCCGTGCTCCGTGTTTTACTAATAGCCGGTTAAGTTTCATAATGTATAAAATGGAGTGACAGTGTTTTTGGGAGAAGTATAGTGGAATCACAAATATAGAAAACATATTCTTATTTCAGTTGTGACCATAGTATAGCCTGTATAGCAGTCGCTTTATTTTTTAAAGAAATTTTCATATGAGGTCAGTGCATGAGGAGTTTAGTCAAATTTGCAACTAAAAATCCTTAATTCAAAAATCCTCAAAAAATAAGCGACTGCTATGCAGGCTATTTATCATGTAAAGTACAATAAAAAAAATTACATTATATATAAATATTACTATTGACGATACAGATTCCGACGCATATTGCTATTTCGAACTATATTGCTATTTCGCTACGTCATATTTCAGTTTTACTGTATTGAGAGCATCTGCTAACAAGTTGTAATGCAACCTATAACAAATCGACTTATACGAGTAGCAACAGTAAACACGTGCACAAAGCAACATTTTTGTAAGCACTACAGTGTTCAGGAGTGCAAATTGACTATTGAGTATTGATTTGAAGCAAACCATGTCTCAATATCATGCTATATTCTATCAAGTTGCTAGCAATTTTGAAAAGTAGTGAATACCGATTCGTTGTTTGAAAAGTAGTCATTAACTACTTGGCTACTTTTAGGCAAAATGTAGTTCGCTAACAACTACAGCTACTGTTTTAAAAAAGTAGTCAAAAACTACTGGCCACTAGAAAATTGTATAGTTCGCTACAGTAGCGAACTACAACTACTTCGCTGCTACCCACCCTTGTCTCTAAAGAGGATGTTATGCAAAGAAAGGCATGGAAGAATGGGGGCCTTTCTCATTACTTTTGAAATTACACGGCTCCGCATATCATAGACGCACGAAACGGGGTTCTCCAGCCATCCTCTCACCCAATGATTTTTTAGTCGGGAAGTTTGTAGGAAAATGAAGTGCATATTGTGCGTAAATGTTGGGAAATTGTACTTAACAATTATTTGCAGCCTGTATTTAATTGATGGAAATGGGCTACGCTTTCAAAATATGTTAATGCTTCCAAAACATTTCTTCGACAGGAATTTCGGGAAATATATAAGGAAACAATTTTTCAGGTCGGGCAATTTCACGAACGTCGTGCAAATTTTGCCTCGGCTCTACGCATTATATGTGAAAATACCAAACATATTTCAAAACAATTTTTCGCACTGTTAGGTACAGTACTTTGACTTATGTGCTTTCATTTTCAAACACAAAGTTCTTACATACGAAAATTATAGTCCTCCTAACTATCTGCAAAACCTCAACCGACGTTTAAAACGACGACCTTCTTAAAGTTAGTATAAACGTTTCTTTCACTTCCAGTATATATGATAATTTGTTCCAAGAAGACAATACTCTAAAATGCAAATCTGCCTGACAAAACTCAATTAGCCACGAAGGCCACAATTATTGTGACTGTGAGTGGCGAACGATGCAACATAACATTTGTAGTCGAAAGAAATCCTTTTTCAATCTTCACCACGGTAAGGTATGTCCGTTTCTTAAAATACACCACTGAAAATTAAACGCTCAGCCTCTGATTGTTCTAAAACGCACATGTACATTTTCTTACAGGAATGTGAAAAGCTCAAAACAGCCACAGTTGTGTTCAATGTAATGTAAATATAATTAACGGAGTTGAAGTTATCATATGGTGGTATAGGTAGCACAATTTATCATTCAGTGACACATTGGATTGGCACAATATCGAATATATTCTATACATCAGTTTAAACTATATCATACCCTTCTTTAAATACGAAGCCACTGGCATCATAAATGTATTTTTGTCACTCTGAAGTTGTAGGATTCCAATGTCCAATGGCATTTTTAATTTAGCCAGATGAAATACTTTGAGTGAAGATTACATAACTTACCAATCATGCTACATTCTGTTATTAGAGTAAAAAAGAACAAAAAATGAAAAACAACGATTCAGAATTAGCATCAAAACAAACAACTCTTGAAAAAGGTTAAACAGTCATGGAAAAGACCATTCTGACACTGCTCTAGCTTATAACAACATTGGAGTTACACAACATGAGATGAACGATTACAAGTCAGCGTTGGAATCACATCAACATGCTCTTCAAATCAGATTAAAACTGTTTGGAGAAGACCATTCTGACACTGCTGCAAATTATGACAACATTGGTGACACACAACATGAGATGAAAGATTACAAGTCAGCATTGGAGTCCAAACAAAAAGCTCTTCAAATCAGATTAAAACTGTTTGAGGAAGGCCATTCTGACACTGCTACTGTAGAAGTTATGACAGCATTTCAGTTACACAACACGTGATGAAAGATTATAAGTCAGCGTTGGAATCACATCAACATGCTCTTCAAATCAGATTAAAACTGTTTGGAGAAGACCATTCTGACACTGCTGCAAATTATGACAACATTGGTGACACACAACATGAGATGAAAGATTACAAGTCAGCATTGGAGTCCAAACAAAAAGCTCTTCAAATCAGATTAAAACTGTTTGAGGAAGGCCATTCTGACACTGCTACTGTAGAAGTTATGACAGCATTTCAGTTACACAACACGTGATGAAAGATTATAAGTCAGCGTTGGAATCACATCAACATGCTCTTCAAATCAGATTAAAACTGTTTGGAGAAGACCATTCTGACACTGCTGCAAATTATGACAACATTGGTGACACACAACATGAGATGAAAGATTACAAGTCAGCATTGGAGTCCAAACAAAAAGCTCTTCAAATCAGATTAAAACTGTTTGAGGAAGGCCATTCTGACACTGCTACTGTAGAAGTTATGACAGCATTTCAGTTACACAACACGTGATGAAAGATTATAAGTCAGCGTTGGAATCACATCAACATGCTCTTCAAATCAGATTAAAACTGTTTGGAGAAGACCATTCTGACACTGCTGCAAATTATGACAACATTGGTGACACACAACATGAGATGAAAGATTACAAGTCAGCATTAGAGTCTAAACAAAAAGCTCTTCAAATCTGATTAAAACTGTTTGGAGAAGACCATTCTGACACTGCTAGAAGTTATTACAACATTGGAGTTACACAACATGAGATGAAAGATTACAAGTCAGCATTAGAGTCGAAACAAAAAGATCTTGAAATCACATTAAAATTGTTTGGAGAACACCATTCTGACACTGCTGCAAGCTATAACAACATTGGAATCACACAAGATGATATGAAAGATTACAAGTCAGCGTTGGAATCACATCAACATGCTCTTCAAATCAGATTAAAACTGTTTGGAGAAGACCATTCTGACACTGCTGGGAGTTATTATAACATAGCTGCCACACGTTATGACATGAAACACTATAAGTCAGCTTTAGAATCTTATCAACGTGCTCTTCAAATTAGATTAAAATTGCATGGAGAATGTGATTCTGACACTGTTGAAAGTTATCGTGCAATTGGAGTCATTCAACGTGCTCTGAAAAACTACAAAGCAGCATTAAAATTACATCGATATGTTGTACAAACTAGATTAAATAAAGCTGCACGGGGAGTACTACCCTGAGAATGCTTTAAGTTATTGGAGTCTTGGAATCACACAACGTGAGATGAGCATTACCATCACAACAACATTACCATCATTACCATCACAACAACACGCTCTACAAATCGAGTTGAAATTATTTGGAGAAAATTTCCTGCAAACACTGCTGAACGTTATGATATCATTGGAGACACACAATGTGAGATGGAAGATTACAAGTCGACTGTAGAGTCATATCAACATGCTCTTCAAATCAGATTAAAACTGTTTGGGGAAGATCATCCTGATACAGCTAAAAGCTACGAAAACATTAAACTCGTACAAGACCGTATGAAAAATGTTGTGAGCATCATAATACCAGAAGAAAAGAAGTTGCCAGATTGGATGGAATATTTATAAAGAACATTTTCCAAAACTGCAACAAAACATGGAATCACGAGGGCGTTAGCCAGCCCAAAAGCGTGGGGGGATGGGCTGGGTTATCTAATCTTCGAATACCCAGAACAGTTAGGTGTTGTGGCTATGCGGGGGGCATGATTTCCATGAAAATGTTTCTATTTTCGAGGTGTGTGAAAGGCTATTTCATGCATGTTGATCACGTTGTATTATAATCTGAAAGCCACAGATTGGATATATCTTATATCATACATGAAAACATTACGGCGTTTATTACAAAATTCCCCCGTGGCTACGCAACTGAGATGTTTAAAGATTTCCGAAAGTAATGACCTGTCAGAAAGTAGCGCTTCCTCCCGGACGTTGGCAGCGATCTTTCGTAACTCATTTTTAAGAACATTGTAACAAAGAACATGCATAATTGCATTTGCACAGTTCGTAATGGTGCTGAATAACTCGATGTGCTTTGCCTCGCTCTAGTTACTACGCAGTAATTTTGCTTGCGCCGCATGAGGCTATGTTCATCTGTGACGGGGCTGATTTAGAAACTATAAACAGTGATAGAAGTTCGGTGTCAGTCTTCCATGACAATCTCGTTCCCAATGATATTATATATTTAAAACAAGACAGTTTTGAAAACTACGTGTAATTTTCGCCTGATGATGATTTTGAAATAATTTCAAAATTTTTCTGGTTCTAAAATTAAAAATTGCTTGCACAGCGGTTGAACAGTCCGAAAATACCGTTAATTTTTTTTATCAAATGCTGTTTTGTTTCATGATAAGTATAGGTTATTTTGAAACAGCGAGGGGGTATGTGATTTATTGACCGAGGCGCGCAGCGCCGAGGTGAATAAACACATATCCCCGAGGTGCCTCAAAATAACGTACTTGTTTTTACATTGCGAGGTTGCGTTGATGAGTCAGAATAGAAATAATTCTTAATGCCATATTGCCTTCGTTATGTTCTTTTTTCTCATTTTTTGTGCTGCAAAGACATTACAGGTGAATATTAGAGGGACCGGATTATTAGAGGGGAATATTGAATATATTCCCCGATAAGAACAAAGGAAACCGAGCAGGGTGAAAATAAGCATGGTTATAAGGTCATTTTCATTACGCTCGTTTAAGATACTTGTAAGGGGCATGGAG